GGGCTATCAGTCGCTGTAGTATCTTCTACACTACTTTCGACTGCATCTAAAAAAGCCGAAAGCAAATCCGCTGTATCGCTATTGTCTCCTCGGCGTTTGATTTCGCATCGGTGTTAACGCAGAGCCATCATCTTCATTGTTGCATACATATTTCTTGTCAACTGTCAGAATTGGCCGCTGGACTCAGTAGGTCTCCGGACCACCTAGTTCAGCCAACGTACTGAGCTTCATTTTCACTCTCGGAATACCCGACGCACAAGTCGAAATCTTAACTAACCTCCACGGTAGTGATCACATTATCGTACGGGTTATCTTCTACATCGAAATGAAGGCCATTCTTGACTCAACTATTCAATATGCTATCCATAGGACTGACTGGAAGCATTTCCAAGAGCTAATCCGATCTCCCGACTGGGATGCGTTTTTTTCTCTTTAAAAACCTCCGCAATACAGTGGGACAATTCTACTACCAGGTCCATCGCATCATGACCCTACTTGTTTCACAAAACAAACTTGTTATTCCTTGGCTTAGGAATGTAACTGTGACTTTAATCAACGGGAAACCAACATAACTGATTACCGAATTCATAAAATACTAAAAGTCTCAATAATAGTACTACTGACGATTCCATTGCCTGCCAAACCTTCACAAGAGATATTTGATAACAAGGAGGAGGGGGATGAAGAGAACACGTCAGGGTTCCTGTTTAAAAGAACGGAACTAACAAACCTCTTACACCTCAGTAATAATGACCTCTTCTTTGATCACGGGACTGGTCGATGAGGAGAGTCGCCATCTTAACGACCCACCCGCTACTTGTGAAGCGTTTCGTTACTTTGTTGCTTTCATGCATCTAGAAACTAACTTCCTCCACTGTACTTAAAACAACAAGCGTCCTATACAATGTCAAGATTTCGCTTTTGAACGTACAACAAGCTACGAACTTCATCAAACCATCGTTCAAACTGCATCCCAAAGTCATTCCCCATCCATCAATAAATTAGGATAGCCAGCATAGCGCAACTGCTGCTGAATATGTTCTCCTTGTAGCTGTGAACTGGCCATTTTCTGGGTCAGCAGAAAACACCGTTTATCAACTCTTGTTATACAGATGGTCTCAAACGGAAAGTCACCACCATACTCTCATAGACGCTAAACTGTTTGCTAAATTAATTATGAGCGAAATGACGAAATTTATCTATGATATTGAACTAACAACTCCTAGCAGCACTTCTATACAACCCGTCAGTTGCACTACTTGGGTGACCTCGCAGAATCCATTAACTCCCGTTATGCTTTCACAATCTTATTCTTGGGTATTCAAACAACATTCGATCGGGTGCATCACAAGCGGTTGCTGGAAAAAATCGAGTCCTTTGGTCTCAAGGACAGCTCTAATTTGGCTGATCTGCCACTTCTATATACGTTCCTTGATGGTAACTCTGATTGACAACAACTCTTCCCCACATCCAATTATTGGTGTTGCCATCCAAAGAGGCGCACCTGGTCTTATTCCGCATCAGTATGTCTGTCAAACATGGCATTTTTCCATTTACCAATGACATTAAGATTGGTCATAAATTTTGACGATACAAATTCCAGAGCGCAAGGTTGTTCGTTCAAGAAGACATCGGTTCACTCGACCAATGGTGTGACACATGGCTGAGCAAGCTCCACGAACAAACCATACATTATCTTTTACGAGTGTTCGATCTCTGAATAGTCAGTTACACACCATAATCTACGCATCTGTGTAAATCGTTTATGACCCAGCGAATGACATTCTCCCAACTTAAACTTTTCAGAGCAGGCCGGCTGTCAAATAGTGAGGGCTAACTATGCTATACAAAATTAATAACTTTTTATCCTCCATGATGCGTGATCAGGTGAGTGCATACGTGTGCGGAATGTTGATCACAGTTGGATCAGGAAGATCAAAAATCGCATCATTTAATGACGTTTGGAAGTACACAAATGGTTGACTGAAATGACGCGATGTTGACTGACCTTCAACCAATGTCTCACCTACGTTCTTATAAGTAGTGAACTCACGTAAGAGGTTATGGTGGCCAAATATGTATTGGGTCATATGAAACCTGGGCCCTGCTCATATGCTTGTCTTCTTGTTACAGATCACGCGAATCGTTTGGTCACGTTCTGTGCAAACAACAACATGTGGATGTTTTTGTGAAATTTATGCTCAAGAGTGCAGGCACATACGCTGATTGGTAGTTTGATCTAGTTTCTGGCGTACCTGTCAAGGAGAAAGTTCGCAGACCTGGTCCTGGACTTGCATTCCGCCACTGAGTCCTGTTTATGTCGTATATTGTAGACGGCTCATTGCATCAAAGCCAGTTTGTGTTTTGAACCGTGTACTTTTCTGTGCATGATGTTGAAAAGTATGCCTAAGTTGGGATTTATGCACCGTAGCCACGGGGATCAACTTGATCTTATCACATCGTTCAGAATATTCCGGTTTCGAAGAAGCACCTGGAGGGCGTTTTGTACATGCTCCATGTACTCGTTCCGAGGCAACGCGGTGTCTCTTTTTCGAACTACTGTACATCATTGAACAATATTCTAACTTGAGTCGAGCAAGTGAGATACCAGAATAAAGTATTACTCTTCTAGAAAAGTCCCAACTATCAATCCAGTACTCTGTCTTACCCTCGCGGTAACCTAGCCTACTTGTTCACAGAAGTCAAGTAAGCATGTGAATATCGCACTCCGATGTCCCGTATCGCACGACAGTGGTTAATTAGTTTTCCGTCAAGATTCAGGCCGCCATGAGTCAAATCCCATTTGAAGGACATTTCATATCATTTGTCTGTAGAGAAACACATGTTCCACTCTGACCACCAAACTCCAAACGCATGGAGGTGGAGTAGGATCATTGGAGTCATCTGGACGGAAAGTACACATCATTTTGATGTCGTCGTTAACCTGTATTGCGTACAGTAGCCGCCCAATAACTGCTCTGTATTACACCGCTAATAACAAGTCTAGGCTCCGATTAGTGTCCTTGAGATTTACCACCTGCGTTCATTATGTTAGGTATGACTTGTACCATAAAATCTATACAGTTCCTTCCGAAATTGAACTTTTCAAAATCCTTACTCTTCCAATCCTTGAGTACTGCAGCATCATTTATAGAGTGACAGGATTGCTATCGAAAGCTTGCAATGCACGTCCATCTTGAGCTGTCAGAAGCTTTGCCAGTGGCTTCACCTCGAGCCTCCTTGACTGCGATGAATGACGCATAACTTGATGCTCATACACTGCCTGATACTCCAGAAGACATACTCCGATCTGTATAAATTGTAATTACAACGTGACCTTACTCTGAGTCTTCGCAATAAAATATGCAAACCACTTGTGCGAAGAACTTGGACGGCTGCTCGATTGTACTTCTTCCTCGTCAGATACACTGTCTTTTGGAATAGCCCACTCGCTATTGTCTTGTGCAAATACATGAACATTCCGCATTGAAATCGGAAGTTTCCTGAACCAGAATTCGATAATGGTCATAGTTTCATCACAAAGATCACGAAGTGATTTCTTTCAAGATGGTCGAAGAAATATATAACTAGTGAGGGTAAAATATCACACATTACTCACAACCAACAAAACTGCCGTCCGGAATGTCTTAACAACACGGACACTACTGCATGCATGTCTCACTTGTGCATGAACACTATATTAACTCCATGAAAGATCTGTCCGTATTACAGAAACCGCCTCACACATACCAGCAATATACATATTACTAGCATTATTTGTTTTTCCACCGTTAGAGGTGATGTAGCTGCTCTAGCTGGCCGGTGTGTTCGGTTGCACTATCTACACCGGAAACATGCATTGCGCCTTGATGATATTGACAGACTGGCGTGTTTTTGATCACCGGTACTTGCGGAGTATCGCTCACATTCGGTGTCAGTGCCTAGTGCGCAATGCTGAAGTCCGCAAGTCAGTGTTTACAAAGAAACTTTGATGATGTTACGCTCGAGCGGCTATTAACTGAACCGTCTCCCTCGGCATACATTGTACACTGTCGCTGCATCTAGTTTAGCGAATTCACGAGGTTGGCAGGCGATGAGGCGTAGCACACGACCATGAAACAGTTAACCGCAAGACTCGGTTGGGTCAGCACTTGCCGTTTTCCTGGGAATTGCCTGTGGAGTAGGCCACCTCAGTAGTTGGAGACGTATTCGACATGATGCAGTCGACAGCTCAGTGATTCCTCTGCATTCCGTCTTTGTTATTATTCCATCTCGTTAACTTGGACTCCTTTCTTTGCTCTGTGTTACTTTTTGCGCTCACCTCATTTTTCTCACTGTTGCTACCTACTGTTACCCCGGCAACATGAGTTATGGCGACTGGTTCCACCCCATTTCGATGCTCACGCCATCGTTTAACTAAACTGTACCACCACTTTGTTGTTCGTACATGAACTCAAACGCCTCCGGACAGTCAGTTTGCATGAAATAGTCACCAGCCGCATAAGTTAACCTCCCTTTTGTTTTAACTCGGAGCCACAAGCACGGCACTTACCGATATATCCTCGCTGTACTTTCTACCCATTCGTTGAGTTACAGCGTATCTTCAGTGGTCAACGTGAGACCTTCTGTACCGTGGCTTTGCTTAGTCTCGATGAACGATGAGCTCCGTGTACTTGATCGTATAGTCCAGTAGACTGATTCACTAGGTGTATATACCAGTTTCGGTCCCTTGCGCGTTCCATTCTTATTATGCACTGTATTTCGCCATATTCGGCAAGTACATAATGATGACGGCTTTTTTCGCGAACAGCAAGTTCTTCGCCCGTGGAATCGACTACCTTCCAGGCAAATGGGAAGCAGTAATTGAAGTAGCTGATGAATACGGAATAATCGTTTGAAGATATTTTTATGAAGTTAGAAAAGTCATACTCGTTAGGCGTTTGCTTCATACATATCTATCTACATATTTACATTTTTTCCCATCATTCTTGTCTTTCAAGGAGACAACATCCGAATTGGACCAGTGTGCCATCTGCATAGAACCCTTTCGTCCTATGGATAGCATTCGCATTCTTCCGTGTCGGTAAGTTATCTCATTTCTCTGCTAAATTCAACCACATGCTGTGCAGCCCCCCCCCCCAGGTTTTACTTCAAGTATTCTGCCGCAATTGCCCGGTCCGTCTCCAGCTTCACCAAGTCAGTCTCACCTTGTAGGGTCACTTGGTTATCCGGGCTATACATGTCATTGCTGGTGTCAGTTCGCGCTTAATCGATATTATACCGTAATATTCACATGTCGGCCACTGGGCATGCTTCTCGAGTAGAGTGATTCGCCACTTTGCCACTTTTAGTTGTTTACGCACGTTCGTTGAACAATTACCCAGTCTTGTACGCACTCTGGAAACTTTTGCAACAGTTATCTGTTGCTTGTCTAAACTAAAACTTCAATATCCCCCCACGGTCGTCCGTCAATTGTCGTTCCCAGTTAACCCGCACACCTGTTTACATCTTCACATTTCTAGAGACAGAGTTCATTGCATCTAAGCAAGGTGTTGTTAAATTTGTTCTTAGTCCTACAGCCGAGGCCACCGTTCCTGAATGGATTCCATTCAACTGTCGTCTCTGCACTATGCGGCCCTATGACTCGTGCATGTTTCGCAGACGTTGAGAAGACAAATGTGCTCTTTTTTCGCCCTCTGTTTATGCTCCTACTAACTGTGGTCTGGATCTAATCAAAGACCAATCCCATCAGAACCTTTTTGATCTACTGCTAGGGCGCTCAAAACTGGCATCACCATTATGGCTGTAGGTTTCAACCCACGGGTTGGTCGTTTGTTACTAGGCGATGGCCATCTCGGAGGTCCGCATGTATATAACAACACTGGCTCAGATGATGGAGGACGGCTGCACAATTTGTGTATTGACCACCAACTTTACCTGTCCAGCACGAAATTTCGTCACACTAGGCACCACTACAATATCCAGGGGGCCCGTCCTCCTCCCATTTGGTCACAGATGGACCGCATCGCCATAAGTCATCCGTGGATTGGCCAGCATTCGGGACCTCGAATTCTATTGGCCAACCTGCATCGAATGTGATCATGTGCTGGTATGTGCGACGGCTTGCATGCGTTTTGGTCGCTCGCTTAGGATTAAGAACCCCAACTGAACACTATTAAATTTGAAGATATAGCCGTGCAATCGGAGTATCAACGTAAGCTCCATGCGAATCTCAGTTTTCGCCTACAACAGAGCGTGTTTTGTTTGGGTTTATGCAACTGCGGCCTTGTTCTTTGCCCAGTTAAAAGTGGATAACGGCAACGTCCTCGGAACTAATTGACCGTTGATGTGGAGCACGATCAACTTCGCCAGTTGATTTCTCAGTAACTGAAGAGTAACTTCGTCGTGAACGTGGATCTTGGTGTTCTAAACGAACCACGGAAATGGAGGTTGCTGCAGTTGCGGGGAACAGGTGAAGATTGTTTTTATCAAAGCCATTGCGTGCAAGTCACATGCCATCAGTTATACAGTTTGCAAGCCAGATGGCACAAAAATCTAACCTACGCGGACAACTGGATCACTGGGCGGTTCACTCTGTTCTTTGATTTAAAATTACCCAGTACAACTTGTGACACCTCCATTGCAACCGTATGGTACCTACCCTGCCTCCGCAGAACCTTCCAATAAAGTTGAGATTTGAAACAAATCTAGGCCCCAAAGCGCCTTTACCTTGACAGCAGTTCTCGGACCTTACTCAAAAATGTCAGGGACGTTGTCATGGGCAAATCCTCCTAATTCTTTCGAACTTGTAGGCTACTGAGTAGGTCCTCATCTCATGCGGCGAATCTGTCTATGTCCCAGATTTCAAGAAAGGCCCTGAAGTGAATGCACCAACTGCCGAGGAATCTCACATCCCACTTATGTCCAAAGATTTTGTACCCATCTTGCTACGCAGATTTTCTGCTGCTCGAGTTTGTCTGATGAGGAACAGGTTGGTTTTCATGTTTGCTGAGGTTCTATCGACCAGGTCTTCACGCTGTCTTCAATTCTCGAGCATCGCCAAGCCCTCCGAAAGTCAGTAATCGTGGTTTTTGGACATTAGCTTAGCTTTTGGCCCAGTAGATAGATCCTTTCTATGGAACTGTCTACCAACGAACAGTGTGTCCGTCAAGTTTGTCATACTTTTTATAGCACTGTAGCCGCACATTTGACGAAGTTTTTTGTTTATCACGAGCTCTCTTCGTTTGCCTTTGCCAGCGGATTTTACCAAGGTTGCTCTATCTCACAGTTCCTGTTCAGCATCGCCGTTGAGGATGTTCTGCACCAAGGACTCGAAGGAGCCCAGAACTGCGGAGTTGAGCTTCTTCCTGGGAACAGAGTCGGGGACGTCGATTGTGCTGATGGCATAGCTTCGCAATTGGTGGTACTCTACCACTGTTTTTTATCGCGTTCACAGTATACGACTTACTAGGTGTGGAGCTGCTCCCAAGTGAACGACTTCTTGACTTGGAGTATGCTGACGATATTGCCCTCATCTGTAACAGCTCCCAAACGTACCAAGCGGCACTGGACAGATTAGCACTGGCTGTCACCCGTTTCGGGCTATGCTTTGCACCCTCGAAGTGCAAAGCTTTCCTTCAAGATTGGCAGGGACCGCCTCCCGCGATGACTCTTGGTGGGGATTAGCTAGAAGTCGTTCAAAAGTTTAACTACCTAGGTAGTTCTTTTAGCGCCGTTAGATTTAAAGACGAGTTCACAAACCGTATAGCGAAAGCTGGATACAATTTTGCTAACCTACGGCATCTGCGGCACCTGCGCGAGTGTACAATGCAGCCGTAGGTTCGACCCTACTGTACGGTTGTGAAACCTGGCCCCTTTGATCAGCGGACATAAAGAGGCTAGTCACGTTCGACCACCGGTGCCTTCGCAGTTTGGCTCATATCTGGCGGGAACACTGTGTGAGCAATGAGCGTGTTTGTAGCGCAGGAAGACGAGGCGAACCGCTTAGCACCATTATTTCACGCACCAGGCTCCGATGGCTGGGCCACGTGTTGCACATGTCAGTCCACCGACTTCCATGATTTGCGTTGTTTGCTCACCGGGGGTGTGGATAGAAGAAGAGGAAAGGTGGCCAAGCGATGACTTGTCCAAGAGGAATGAAGGCACTTAACTCGAAGGTCGCCTCAGTTGGAGCCTCTCGCCTTCCTTATTGTGCGCCGAGGGACGGTGAACACGTTTAGTTGGATGCGCTTGTTGACATGGCTAGGAGCAGACCTCAATGGCATTTGTGTTGTGAATTCCTTTGCCCATCCCCCTCAGGTTAGCCTCCTCTTCCAACCGCCATCTCAATTAATAGGGTTTATATGACCTTTTGCGGCACAATAGCCGGCTGTTCACTCTCCGGAACGATGTCTATCCGTTACTGGTGACTCAGCTGACGTGCCACTGTTTCACTACTCTTTTTTTCTTTTGTATTGTGGTACAATAGCTGAGGTGTTTTCCACCTGCAGCCAGCGTGTATAATAATGATGATGTTATTGTGTTGGCACTGAAGAGATAATACGAAATGTTGACATCAGCCAGTGTTCGTCTTCTTACGGCATTATTCAAATAATGATGATGCCCATTCCTTTCTCATATGATATTCATTTTTGCGCGAAAAGAGAGCGAAAAATTAGAACGGTGTGTAAAACATCAGAAAAGAAACTATCCTCTTTTGAAACCATTTTCTTCTCTTTGTTGAACAAAATGTTCCGCTATTGCTATAGTTCTAGTGCCACGTGTCTATCTTCAGACTTGCGAATAAATAAATAAGCATACATTGGTCGTGTCGGCGGGACACATCACCAATCCGTGTCTGCCATGTCGCTGCAGTACCATGTCAAAAGAACTGTGTCGCAAAACACCTCGCATAACTAACTGATGCAGAATGAATTTATTTGATATGTTGCCAAGTGACAGCGGCTTGCTACAGGCGATATATGATCGAGATCGTGATGCTCAGGTGGGCTACATCACCAGTACATCGATCGACGTAGAATAATGGCTTGCTGATTCATTTGATACCATTGTGGTGCACACGGACTGCTTCACAGGTCCTAGTCAAGACACTCCAGAACTGATGTTAACACATTGACCGTATCATGGAATAAAGTGATCACCGTTTGTGCCAGTGAATGCCTATACTTCGAAGGTGAGCAAGTAGCCAGCCCGTAGCGTAAAGTTAACAAGTTTGTCTTGTAATCTGAAGGCGCGGGTTCGAACGGGCACTGAGACAGGGCGACCCTCACAGTATCCTTAGCCCACGTGTGACCAGTGATGGTTGCGTGGCCGCGAAGTGTCGGTGCTGCGTATCACCGAAGTAAGCAGCTACCGTGATACAAAGATCTTTCCAGTAAATGTTTCTCGTCGCAATTCATCTCGCGCAGTTAATCCCCCGTTAGTACCTGAGTGTCATTGGACTTCACCTTAATGCCTCAAGCATTGTCACCTGAATTGTATCTGTTTGGCAGTTGAGTCGGTCGTAAATATGTCATCGATTCCTATCTGTGTCTGGGCATGTTTGCTTATGACGCTCCACTAAAAACTGACTCATATTTGGAGCAGCCCATAAGTCCATCGCCCACTCGTTTTGATGCGAATGAACATGGCTAATCGCGGGGCGACTCATGTTCCATGCGCGTCATAATCCAAGCACATCGCACATGTTATCCCACCGACAGTCGAGAAGATACCCGCAGTCCTCGTTTCGGAAAACATCCTTGTGCTGAGCGACTGGATTCGAAGCAGCGTCCCATTACCCTAGTGAATTATTAGCCAAATGTTGCTGGCATGATACAGATGAGGACGTTTTATACAACAACTTCATAGCGGCGGATATCCTGTTCTGCTACCATATGGTCAGGTTTCAAAGTACGGTGTACCTTATCAGTACTTGAACACAAGCTCTGAGATTCCAGTTCAGTCGCTAAGCTCATCGGATTGCGGGCAGAGAACAGGAGCCGGCACATCTAGTCTAGACTTCGGACACATCGACATAAGGCGTGTGATCGAGAGGGTGACAATGAAGCTCGTGCTAATCCCACGGTTACTGACATTCTATGTTCTCACAGCGTCTTGCAGGGAGCATTTTACTTTAACTCACCGCGTTTCTTGGATACGACATCTGTTTGCTACCAGGTCGCCTTCATCCCAGTGTCTGGCGACTCGGTGGATTTATCACTTCCGATGTAGGAGGTTAAGGCTTTATGCCCTATCATATTGTCGGTTTCGAGTTGATCTCATTATGAGGCACCGGATACTGCACCTGAGCCACTTCTCTATGTTGAGGCCGTTGCTGCGCGTTCGCGTACTAAGCAGCATACTCGAGCACTGGTACAAACTAGTGGTACCCGTATTTAAAGTGCATCGCTTACCCTCTATGCTTCAAGCCTCGAGTGGCGAAATATTGAAACAAATTACCGGAGACGCTAGTTGATGCGAAATTGTTGTCGGAATTTAAGAGGTTCCTAACTGCGTACTTTGCGGACTACATGTATAGGGAGCGTATCGCACCCGGATACGATGTAGTGCAGCTGCAACGTGCTGCCACCGCGCAGGAATCAGCGTCGTGATTCCGCGCATGTGCCCGATCCACTTACGATGGAGCAACATATATTTTTATCTTCGCGCTCTCTCTTTTCAATATTCAGTATTTACGCAGCGGATGCCGCACTCTACACGCAGTCTTATTGATGAACTCATAAGATTGAGCCGAAAACAAAGACTTTTAGCACATGGCTTGTGGAATTAACGGTGAAAAACAAGTCTCCCGTTCGCTAGTAAACATATGCCAGTACGTGGCAACCATATGCTACGGTGGGAAGTTACTTTGTATCTGCGTACGTACAGCTGTCGGTTCGCGAGGCCGCTTAGTGTGAAGTACATCCTTGTTATTGGGATACGAGAATAACTTCTCCCCTGTCTCAACTGCGACCGGTGTTCGTCTCACTCACATGAATCAGATCTGTCGACCGGAAAGATATGTGCACTGCACATCTTCACGTGTCGGATTTACTGATACATTAATCTGTCACAGGTATAACCCGGTTACTCACCAAATACAGTCACGTGACTGCCATTTTATAGATGATATGACGTTATAACTACCGGCTCTTTTATATGGTCATCTGGTGTTTAACGTTTGTATTCTTGTGTCCCAGAAAACGTTTTGCATTTTATATTCTACCTGAGTTCACTTTTTTCTGAGGACGATGTGGCTGCCCACGCAAATAGCTTCCGACTGAAGCGGAGCTCATGGATGGCACACCCACGTTTCACTACGTGGTTGGGTGTGTTGAAGCAACATGTGGCTGTTTTCCGATGACCCTCCTCTGTGCTGGTGTCAATTATTTGCGTTGTAATTGATCGCAGTCTTGTAGGTAAGCGAGTTGCGCACATGCACCAAGATATAGTCGGAATTTAGACACAGACTCCGGATGGTCGACTAACCATCTCGATCTGATACACACAACCACTAGCTAAGGTATTGAGGTCAGATTGGTTTCGTAGCCGATTCTCATTTTCATGAACTGTACAGCGTCGTTGGAGTGTTCGTGATGTGAGGATGTATCCGCCTTACCACGTTTGTTTCTCCTACACCATTGTTCACATGCATCACATGCAACATGTATCACCACGCAACTGGATCTCTCGCTTTACTGTGTGTCGGTCGCGATCAGATAATTTTCCGTTGTTTACGCTACGTGCACCAATTACGAAATGAATTCGGGCGATGTTCTCATTCCACCGTGCGCCATACCCGTGTTTCTAGCCATCCAAAATTGAGGAAAATATACGATTGGTGATCTGGTCTTTGACCACAGATGATGATTTACACAAAAACAGTCGAAAGTTGCTGGATCCTGAAGCGCTGTCCGTGTTGCTTTGCTCATCATGAACATTCAATAGTATTGCCTGATCAATGCCGACTGATTGTACTCCGGCATTTGGAGAAGACGGGAGTCTGGCCACCACCGAACGTCGTAAAAACGCAAATCGAACTGCTTTTGCACAATTCGTTCGCTTCTGAAGTTCAACCGTACCCACTTCCTCTGAATGACTTTTTTCAAACGTAGTGGCGAACCCACTGCGTCATTGAAATGGTTCCTTGCTAGTATCGCTTCACGTTCTTGTGCATGGTTTGCATACGGTTTGCATACTAATGCCGTGTAGTTACCGCCACTCTCAGTTAACCATTTTCTAAGGTGTGGTTTTTCTGTTAAACTGTCTCATTTTTTCCGTTTGGATTTGTAGATTTTCACGCTCAATTTACCCGGTTTGAGGGAACACACTACAAATTCCGGTGTTTTCCTTGGAGCTATTTTTTCGTGTGTCCCCTTTACGTTACCTCAATCTTTGTCTTACGTTTGTTCTCTTCGTTCCGATAGTCGCGTATCGCTTTCAATTTTCTGGGGGTTTTTTTCTACCTACGCTTTAGCACCTATTTTGCGATGCAATTGGTGAAACCTCAGCTCGCCGCGTGATGAAATCGAATTAAGTCTCTCGTTTGCCTCTTTCAGTTGACTGTTTTCGTTGCATTAGATTTTCGTCTCCATTGCCGCCCTAGTGGCACGGTATTGTCATTCCCACGAATCAGGCAGTTATTCGCCCCCTGGTGGGCGATGGGTCTCGGCTTCATGTGGGTCGGTTTGCTTACCGTGACAACGCACACTGAATGAGTGTCTCAGTCGTTCTGTGTGACCGGCGTTCACCGTTGTGACAGCGTTGCGCGTTCATCCGGCAATTGTTGAATGACTTCCGTTTGTCATTCGCGTGTGTGCGTTTGTATCGCCACACCGATGCCGAAGACACTAACACTACCGTGCTAGGCCTGATGATAACTCGGCACTTGCCAATGTTCGCTCAACCTCTTTACTCGCCGCGCTGTGACCAACTTATTTGGCAACTGTTTGTCCGTTAGTTCGAGCGGCCCCTGCCTCTGATCACCTTCATGTGTGTGTGTGTGTGTGTGTGTGTGTGTGTGTGTGTGTGTGTGTGTGTGTGTACGTGCATGTGTATGTTCGTGGCTGTTCGCATTACGGGTCGCTGTAATCATAATCGATTGAAATAAATCAACTGTTGGCTGGATAATGTTTCGGTTGTTGTAGTCTCTCGTTGGGTCACAGAAATATACGGAGACGATTTATTTTTGTGTGAACTGAAACTGATGCGTCACCTTGACTCCCAGCGCCTGTTCATCCCTCGACTCGTAAACTTTCATGCGATCTTGCTTTTCATTTGTATCACTTTACTGAATGTAAGGGGTACTTTAGTGCCGAACCCACTGCGTCATTGAATTGGTTTCTTGCTGACTGTTGTGTCATCGCTTCACCTACTTGCGTATGGTTGCGACAATTTGCTTACCACTGCCCTTGTAGGCACCGCCACTCTCAGTTAACCATTTTCCGATGTATAGTCTTTATTTCTGTATGACTGTCTCATTTTTCCGTCTAGCTTCGTAGGTTTTCACGCTTGTTGATTAGATGGAAATTGCAATTAGTCATCAAATGATTTGGCATCTTCTACTTGGTTCTCTAGAGGTATAGTGTATTTTAATCCAACTCTTCACCGTTTTCTGAGTGTTAGTTCTTCTTGTCGCCTCTACCCCCATAGGCACTACTTCCACAAACTGTGTATTGATCCCTGGCTGTTGGAACAACGAAGTTGTCCCATGTGCAAACTGGACATTCTGCAAGCGTATGGATTGCGTCCTGATCTCTACTTCGGCTACAATCCAAATGCAGACCCCAGTTCTCACGCAACTCGGCCTGCTACTGTGGGCACTCCGCCTTCGGAACATCAGTCGGGCTCGGATGATGATGGGGCCGAACGAGTCGCTCTTGTGCACAGTCACTCGCTGGACTGCAGTCTGACGGGAACAGGTCCCACAAACACTGCCCCGTTGCCGCCACCACCTGTTGCCCCGCCACTGCCACCTCAGTCTCCCCCGCTCACCTACGTTGTTCTGACTAATGCGGCGGTCGGCAGCCTTGCACCCATGGATTCATCAATGGTCCCTAGCCCGCCAATCTATTACGTCCACGGACCGAGTTCTGCGAACGCCTCGGTCGTCGCTTCTCACAATCCAGTGACAACCACAATCGATCTCCCTGGGTTGACCGCCCAAGTCATAGTTCCCGTTTTGCCTACTCTCACTATGGATATGTCTTCCCGACACCGACCCAGTCTTGTGTGGAGTGCCGATCGAGGTTTCGCCAGTGCTGGCAAGATGTTGGATTCGCAACTACTTCCTTGTTTAGTGGAACAGGGTGTCTTTGAACCATCTGACCTTCAGCGAGCACCACACTTGGGGACCCCGTACGCCCAGTGCCTGATTGCAACTCAACCCCCCATCGATCCACGAATGCCGCGTCCCTCTGTTGCACCTGCGACACGCAACGGTTCACAAGATATCACCTATACCACTCAAACTTTCACAGCCCCCGTGTGTGCGGTGATTGCCAAGGTTGAAGTGAGTGTATCCGTTTTATCCATGATACTGGTGGGTCACGTTTTCTCTACAAAGCAGTTTTCATTGTTAGAGCCACTAGGGTGTGTCAAGTCAACTTAAGTTTTATCCACCCGTATGGGTGCATTTTCAGTATTTTCACCCCAACATTGCGGATTATTATACACCGAAGGCTCATTGAGAAGAAACAATAATTAGCAATAAACGAAAAGTTTCATCTTCAATCAAGCATACGGTCACGAAAGCGGCGTTCCACTCCTATTGGGTCGATTAGTAAGCATGTTAGGATAGTCAGAATAGAGTTCCGATACGACGAGGTGCAAGAATATAACACTTTAAATTTTCTCTGTGTGAACGAAGGACTTACTATGCTAATAGGGATATCCTTTACAGGGTGTTAGTTAAAATTTAAAAATGGATACATGCGTCGAAATTTATGTTAACAATGAAATCTATGAGCGTTGGTTTCTCTTAACCAGATCAACGAGAAATAAATGTTTGCTAACGGACAAGAATGACAATCCTTTTGAAGCATTCCTGGGAAGGTAACCGGGGAATAGTATAACCAATAAGGGGAGATACATGCAATCACAAACCGTAAAATTAAAGCACGGGGAACGGAAGGCATTTTAAGTCTGGTGGTATAAATAGCGAGCCTTCTAATCGCTCTAAATGTTTCAAGAACTTATGTAGACCATAATAAACTGTGAAACAAAACACGGTAGATATGCGAGGTATGTTGAGGTTATTCTCAATCGTTGGAGCAGAGATATGTACAAGGGACTGCAGTCTGATGGGGTGTATACAGTATAACGTTGCGTCACAAGACTTGGAAGGGTTTGGAGAGAGGGACCTGGAGCTGGACCAATTCACTAGTTCGCTTAACCTCTGTTAGCTTTTTAATGAGTCCTCAATGCGTAGGGCTACGCATCCCAGGATGACGTCATCAGCAACTTTACAGCGTATGAAGCTTGATGGATTATAGTGGATTTCAACGTAGGTAATGCATAGAAACGCGGACAGGGTGGCTCCCTGCGAAACACCATTATTGGCTGGGAGTACAGAAGACCGTTTGCCTCACAGTTGCGTGAAGTGGGTGCGATTTGTGAAGTAATCACGCAACACACTACACACGTATGGATAGACGCCGTTCTCGAACAAACTTTGAGCAGCACTGATCTATCAATACTCCCAAGAGCGTTGGTATACTCAACAAATAGGAGCCGTAAGCGCTTGCAATTATTACCCGAAACTAACGCAATGAAATGCACGAGATAAGTAACGGCATCCAGTGTATAGCGCCCTGATTTATAGGCAAACTGTTCGATATCATCAGTAAGATTGTCTGTGTAAATACGGGGGTTCAGCAGTTTTTATATTACCTTTAGCAGCACGGATGTGCACACAAGTGGCTAACATTTCCGACATTTTTAGGCACTGATGTTATTCTGATTGATTTCCAAATGTCGGCAGTGGTAATAGTCGTTAAGGACCGATTTAAGAATTCTGTCACATGTTAAAAAATATGCGCACTCTTTCAAAGCTACTGTTGACAATGCATCCGGTTCACTAGCCTTGTTCCTCTTTTGAGCTCTTGTAAATGCTTGAGGAATCAAATAAACTGGGGGGTTCAGTAGTGGTGAAAGAAGGCAGTGGGTGTGTGTTAGGTGGTGAGGGGCTGAACTCAGCATTGAGTTCATTTACATCCTATTTGATGAGTGTTCTGAAAGAATTCTTTCCGTAGAGTTTTTCTGGAAGCTTCCAGAGGTCACGGCAACTATGGTTGCGTACAACGGTCTGAATGTACTTAGTTTTTAACCTTTTTATTTTTGCTTTTATAGCCATGGACAGACGTTCGACACGAGCAGTTGGTGTATGTTTATAAGCCTGCTTTTTTCTCCCGCTTAGTTGCCTGATCAGTGGGAATGCAAATCTGTCATTTCGAAAATAACTTATCTCAATGAGGCAACATGGATCAAAACAAGTTTATGTAATCTGTGAGGTACTCGTGTTGCTCTGACAAGTTATCATTTTCGATGTTATCTACTGAGCAGTTCCGTCGTCCAACAGTTCTGGATGGCCTTTTGGTCAGCGCAACGTAGTTGACTTTACTGTATAACTTGGGTCATAGCTTTCCTATGCAATGGTCGGAATTGTCAAGAGGTGCATACTATTGTGTAGAAAATAGTTCGAGTTTGTTCGTGAACGCTAGATCTAAATGCGCCTCGAGTCTGGTGGGGAATTTCATCAAATTGGTTAAACCCATGATGTTAATAAAAGCTGTGTCACTTCTATTGACGTCTCCGGTGCGAACACAGATGGGACATTCTAATTGTTGTTGCAACTCCAAGGCAACGTGGTCTGCAAACTGTTGCAGCTCAGACAGCACTGTATCCGGAGCTACATACACGTTCCCAACTATGAGCGTTAGAAAAATCGCTCAGAAGCTTTGGTTTACACTCCAAAAGGTGACAGCTTACTGAAGTCGTTGAGTACTCCGAGAGTTTCGAAACGAATTTACACCAATCTTTGTTGCTGCAACTGATGATGTCTCCTGGGCGATCAGATCTAATGTGGTGACAATCATTGAGATTAAGAACTTCATCATTAATGTCAGAATGCAACCAAGTTTCTACGAACTTTACCCTACTCACAAACATCTACAATTAATGTACCATCGCCCTTTGGACATTAGAAGGACAGATACTTCGGCCCATTGGGAAGTGACGGGTGAGTGAGCCAATTTGCAACACCAGGACAGATACTGTGAGCTCATTGGCAATACGTCGCGCACCAAGCGGAAGTCATGTATTAAATTGCGCACCTAATCGTCAGCCTTTGGTAGCTCAGTGGTAGAGCAGCGGACCGGAAATTCGTTATGCCGGGGTTCGATTCCCCGTCGAGGCACATTATTGTGTGTGCTTTAGTCGTGACTTCTACTTTCTACGAACTTTACCCTACTGACAAACATCTACAATTAAAGGGTAAAATAATTCGTGTACACTCAAAGAATCTGTAGTGAGTAGTGTAACATAGTATTCCGATGGGAACAGCAACGGCTGAATTTGAAAGCCCCACTCACTTGGGTGTGTACACTACGTACATAACTTCTTTTTTCGCCCACTTGCATATTCTGCCACCTCGGTTGTGATTGTTATTCAGTAAACGGTAGCTTACATCAATATCTTTGTGCGAAGTACAATGAGAATGCAAGCAGTCCCTTAATCTCACCACTTTTATTGAATAAATCTGACCGACGAGGTATCTGCATGGAACTACTGTGTGGTGACATTTCCCCACTCTGGTCTATAACTGTACAATGTGACAAAACAAAACTGCACTTCACAGCTAGAGTTTACCTCTTCACCATGTATTTGCCGACTGTTATGCCCTGTCCTAATGTCCCAGCTTTCTTTACAGGTGCGTAGAGGTACTGACTATGATGGTGCTTCGGCTGAGCGCTTTATGGTCTGCCATTTTGACACGATATCCTGCTTCCTGTGTTGAGATGTGTCCTGCTCCAAGTTGTCTTGCCTCACTCTGCCACAATAATAGTGACCATGATAATAATAATAGTATTTTATGTAGAATGAACAAAAATGAAGCAGCCACCTGGAGTAGTTAAGGATCATAACTAGGATAACGAATACCAATGCGCCCCGCTGACTTTCTACTTGTACAATATTCGATATAGTGTCCATCTACTGATGTCACATACTCCGAGAACCCAATCCAAGAAGACGGTAATCGTGAACCTGACTCAGCTTTTCAATTAGTTTCTTCGTGCTCCTTTGTCGTATCATTAATTGATCATTTTGGGATTTTACCAAGCTAAGAGCAACATTGGCAGGCAGCATACGACGAGTTAAGTGGCTTGTTGTAAGCATACAAAGCACATGGCGGAAGCATGTGGGGCGGTTTGTGTTCAACAGACATACCTTTGAGGCACCAAAGAGTATGTTACCAAGGCCTAGACGATGATCCCGAGAATTGATCACTTGGTTCCCCCCACCGGACATGAGCAACACCACGCAGCTTCCTAGCACTTTCGGCACATAACGACCAGTTTTCTCACGCATGCACCAACACTGGACGCATTGCGACGTTGTAAGCTTCTCCTTGAATCGCTAGGCTTACATCCTGTCTCCTCTATAATTCATGAAGGTCTTGAAAAGCCGTTTTAACAGTGCGTGCGGTAACATCTTCGGGACTGGGACCATCAGAAGTGTGATACTGTCAATTAACTAAGTAAACTGATCGACCATTACGAGCAGCCGTTCCATGGCTGCGTGTCTGACCGGTCCTGTAATAAAGCACTATACTTTTAAATTGCAAACATACCAGGTGCACAGAGCTGCGCATCAGCCTATTTAATAGCCCTTTCATAGTACTTAGGTCTCATCCGAAGGGAGGTAAGCCGTCAACGCTCTGTAAGCTTGACGATCAGTCACAAAACGGAACTTTCATCACATTTGATGTGGAAGGAATCAGGATAGAGTAGGTCATGCTCACTTCGATTACGCAGGTGAAACGAAGGAAAGGAAGAGCTTGACCTCGGCGCACTTTACTTGTCGTGACAAACAACGATGCACTTCTCGGAGGCCCTTACATGGCCACGGGAGTCGTACTATTGAGAATATAGATTGGGGAGAAACCTCAGGTTTTCACTTCAGCTCTGAGCGTCTACATAAACAGACAGTCTTCAAGTCAAGGAAAACCGCCTGCAAGTATACTCGTGTGACAAGTGTTTGCGGCTCGTCAGTTGCAGGAGAAGTGCGGAGAACGACACCAGCCATTGTACTCGCTTTTTGTTGATTTCACCAAGGCATTTGATACGGTATATATATATATATATATATATATATATATATATATATATATAGCCGCCAACACAAGGAATTCTTTGACTCCTTGAGAGCGGTGTATGGACCGAGGTTATGGCCGCTGAGGACGCTGCTCGATGATAGTTCAGGCGCTGCCTGCACATAGACTGCAGATATACG